GACCTGTGTTCCGCTAAATCGCAGTTTCGTTTTACATGCTTTTTCTTATTAATTTACCTTTGAAACGCATAAATTTTCCGCTTTGAGTTAAATTACCAGATAACTTCTGCATAGTATTGCTAAAACCGGATAATTAAAGAGTGTCTGTGGTGCCCTCTTTAAGCATAAAACGAGTTTCGCAGTCTATTGTACGACTCCAAATTCCATGAAGTGGTTCTTTTTTCCAGAAGAGCTGTTTGTCCACTTTACGCTTTCTGGCACAAAGTAAATATTAACCCAGCCTTATTCATGGTTGAATCTGCTTCAGTAAATACCACTCATGAGCATGTATTGTTTGCATAGTCAGTGGATGGTGAATGTACTCGAATTTTACTTGTCATTACTTAAGTAATTACTTCTCTATCTTTAGCACTCCTTGGTGTAGCTTAATCACTTTCTGGGACAAGGATTTTGACAGCAAACTGTGAATACCTTATTGACCAACTGGGCGTTACCTGAAGGGCTAAAATCTTTCCAACGCTGAATATACTCTTGTTAGCTGAAAAGGAATGTTGAATGGGGCAATGTTTTCACAGAGGTGCTGTCTATCCACCCATCCATCATCTACTTGAACACATACTCCTTTAACGCCTATCAGGTGTGCGGCACATTAAGTATTGTGGTAAAACAGAGAAAATATGGAATTCACTAATTATCATCTACACATCCTCACTAACTTCATCACTGTACAACAAATGCTTAAAAACTATGTAATCAGTTCTATTAGGTTAAGATTCTAACATAAGATGACAGAAGTATTGGTGAATCATTCTTCCTTAGTTATTGCTAATTTGACAAGAATGCAACAATTCCAAAGCGGAATGAATTATCTCCCTTAATTGGCCAATTCGGATAAACTCTTTTTGTGAATAATTGGAATCCCGCCTTCCTGGACATTTTTGCATTCGGCGCTGCTTAGCAGATCTACTTTATTTTCTGCCTAAAAGAGGATTCGTCAAATTGTAGCCTTCTTTCAAACAGGTTTACTGTTCTTTGAAGGCGACTTTGAGGTCGTTGTGGTTACGAAATTTTTTTGTCGACTTTATTTGACTCATCGAGTACACATGCCTCAAAATGTAATTTTTGCTTTATTCATCCACTTATTTAGTTGCTTAAATTCCAATCTAACTTCATTATGTGACAATTTTTTCCAAGTATTATGTAAAGTTTTTGCCACCTAAGGAAAGTTAGTCATTGTTTTCTACCTTGGATACGTTGTTGACAAATCTGAGTAATTATAACGCAATTTGGTTAAGCGTTGCCAACAAGTAGTGATTTGCCAGGTGTGAATATAGGAAGGATACTAGTGCTTTGAAATCCATGGTTTACTGGAAGCTTTGTCCAAACCCGAAAGGTATCTCTTTAGCGGCTTTTATCAGCATGAGCTCACTTCGCGTTGGGGAGTTATTTGCAGCCAAAGAAAGAAGTCATCACCATGCCGACGGCGTTTTTAGGACCAGAAGTGGGCCTGGTGCAACCACTTCCTCTTCTCTCAACCTTTTTCCACATCACTTTCCCTCTTCTCTCCGCCTTTGTTTTTTTCTTGTCTGGTATACACCAAAGTGCGATATCCACTTGCGTGACAAGTGAGGCACAGAGGAGTTCAAACAAAAGTCCCCCAATTTAAGTGTAATTTTTGCCTCAATTCCACTCAATTGACTGTCAACACTCAGGGTGGTGTGAGTCATTACAGTTATTTATGGTCTCGACCACCTTGCGGGTGGTGACTGCAAGTAAAATAGCCACCTCAATGTCGCCATACCGGATGCTCTGACTTTTGGATAACGTGTACACATGAACGACAGACCTCTGTGTTTGCGCTTGACTTTGTCTACCTGTTCCACATCAAGGTACAGCTGAAATTAGAACCGCCGTCGGTCAATCTGGGAATGAATAATGCCCTTCTAAAGGATAAGCTCGCATCTACTTTTGTCACAAATAGATACCTAGTTGAACCATGATTATGGAGGGGTTTTGCAACCTAATTATTTGCCAAGGAACTCGCTTTATTATGGTTACTGAATCTTCCATATCCTTTTGATGTCTATGGTACATGACATTTATTTTCTGTGAGGAATATGTTTGTGGTGATTTTAGTTTCAGTCAAAATTCTAGATTTTCAGTGGCAGTTGTGCCTTTTAATTTTATTGTCCTATGGGAAAATTTGTAAACTGGTGGAAATTGCAGTTGATTGTATAGGCTTATGTAATTTAAACCTTAACACCATGCAATACCCAGTTGACACTTCAGCCAATTAGAAGTTAGTCTTTTCGATAATGGTTACAAGACGATACACGAATCACTAGGTTCTTCCCCTTGTTGACGGCGCATTCCGACACCACAACACTGTCAAAGGCGTCATTAGTCACGACTAGGGTGAGGTGACTCACACAGCGTTGGGATGCGCTTGTGTCCAAATGATTGATGGCCACAAACTATCTCTAAGACTGTTCGACAGGTGGGTCTTGACAACACTCTACAGTAAGTTGTCATGCCTGCTAATCTCTATCCTTTCCGGTCAGGGAATTGAATAAGTAATAGCCGAGACATGAGTATCGGAGGGAAGATAGTGAGTCAGACGCGTTAGAATGCAAGTACGACTGGCAAAGATAAGATCGCATCTTTATTCCTGCTTCTTGCGTTCTTTGTGTTCTTTTTTTCCTTAAAAAAATGCTTTTAATAGAGTCATCAAATCAAATTTTAATCTCGGTACACTGATTTCCGTACCCACATCTGTTCTTCAATGTATTTTTACACTATGGCTCCTCAATGGGATGAGCATCCTAATTACTCTCTTGGCCTTTTAAAATAGATACCACCAGAAATTCAAATTCATGCAATTACCCACTCTTCTCTTTCAATTAGGTCCAGCATGTTCACGGTCACCTAGTTTGAACGGAACACATCGCGCATAAACAGCCAAGGTGACTGGGTCAAAATGCGCACTTTAATCGGTCTCCAGCCGTAGTACACACATAGGGGTCGTTACCTCTAAGCTCAAGTAGATACAGCATCCTATTGCATATTAATAAAGTAGCTGTGCTTGAATGTATCAATTAGTAATATTGCTTTACCTCCTTGGGCAATAAATCTATGCAGCCTCACATTTAGGCGATGTAGACGTCCAAACTTCGCCTTGTTACTCAGATTGTTTGTTCAGAAAAAATGGAGGCTCGCTCTTTGTTTCTACACATACTAGGTAAAATAAGATACCATGAACATACCTTATTACCGATGCTTCTTGAAAGCTTGTTCGCTTACTTTCGGCTTTTTTTACTAAACAATAAGTAATAATATCAGTCAGGCATAGCTAGTTAGAAGTTCACCTCCTTCCTTCATTAAATTGCACAGAATTTATTTGAACTTTTAACTTTTTGTACGTAGCTTTATACGTAGTGTTCAATTTGAGGAAATATATTTTATGTAAAGTTAGCCGTTTTGGAACTTTGTACTCTCCTTTACGGACTTACATTTTAATGCTTTTTCATAACATATAAAACGGTTTTATATTCTACACCGATAAACAAACGAAAATCTCGTTAAGTAGTCACAACTTAACTTCCTTAACCAAAACAGAGAATAACGGAGTTTAGTACTCGAAGTAGGCTGTGAAGTCCTTTAATCTTCCAGGCCTCAGACAGAACCACTGGTCGGAACAGATGAATTCAATCTATCGCTAGAGTCGATTTTAAAGTCATCATGTTTTGCACATTAGTTCTCGCTATAATCAGTAGAAGTGAACAGGTGAATTCGTTGAGTCTACAGTAGCTTGCCGACATGGGCAAGCCGCGTGTGTGTGTGTGTGTGTGCATGTGCAAAAAAAGCAGCAGCATTGTTTCAGCGTGTGAGCCAGTCGCACACTATTTATGCATGTGTAAATTTACTTCAGGTGCTCAGCCCCCGCAAGGATGCAAATCAACCCTCCTCTCCAACCTGCCCGACGATGCGTTCACAGCCTCGTCAATCGTTACGCAAAAGTATTCCGCCGCAGCTGCAAGGCGAGTATGCTCTTGCAACATCACCGCCTTTCTTACCTCATTTTTGCATTAAAAATTAGCCACTGGGTGTAAATTGCCGACTTGGGTGAACACAATGGATGTGCATTACCGTGTCTGGCAGGTGGCAACTGAGACCACCTCTGCTACCACAAGATATGGTGGCTTATTAGTTCACGAGACAATACTTCACTTCTATGGGGATGTCGGAGATATAAAATTAGTTACCTTCACCTTCCCGTTAATTACTAGTCCTTCCAGATATCTACGATAGAAGCATTTATTTTCCATAGGAAATGTATCCCTCTCAACACTATTTGTTCTGGTAAAAATTGTTTTCTTATTTTTAACTTCCTTCTACGAAGCAGCAGGTCAGACTGAATGAATTACGTGGAAAAAGTTTATTTACTCGTCAGTTTTTGGAAGCTGTCGTACTACTTTAATATTTGTCTCCTTCGTACTTTTATGCGTCTATCAAAGCAACAGCTAATCACTTCATTAACAATGCGATTAAGTACATTCAATATGGAGTTTTTAGATTTTAAGCTAAAATAAAGGTTTTGTTCAGTTCCGAATTTCTATATTTCGGTTTACTTATTTAAACTATAAAAATGAAGTGATGATTGGTGGTAGTGCATAGATGGACCATCTTTTGCATTTAATTTCATTTTGAAATAACAGGGTTATCTATGAAAGTTAATTATTTTACACAGTTATAAAATTTATAGATTGATTAAATTTTCACCCCAATTGATGAAGCGCTCATGTGTCAAGGAGATATCCATTGAGGAATTTTTGGGAAGTACAATATGTTTAAGTTGAGATATAACCTACGATTAAAAGACAAGAAAAAAATATTTACTATAAACCAGTAATTATTGACCTGAATCTATTTTTTGAGAACGTGAAGATTTGGCTAAATCTATCAAGTTAACTCCATGCCAACTTCTTTCTTGTATGATTAGAATGGCTCCCAGTGATGGCAGACTTCAATATCGCGCCTGGTGTCCGGACAACGTCCAGCCTCATGAGGAGAAGGAGTTCCTTGAGGTAGACTTAGGGCAGCAGTCCTTTGTGAAGTTGATAATCACCAAGGGTCTCTCTACAGCAGACAAGGTAAGACAGTAATGACTGACTGCTGATTTTACCCCCGAATAATCGCCAAATTTGACTGTCAGGATTTTAACCCTCTTTACTCACAGGGCGGTCTGTATCTCACACCCTTTTACTATATCTGGTATCGTAGAGAGGATCCTACCTCGAGATGGATTAAGTACCAGAACATCAATGGAACAATGGTGCGTATTTTCCACTTATAAATGCTCCATAAAATTTATTGATATGTACTTGTTCAGGGTGCTTTGCTGTATTGCTAGTAAACGCATTCACATTAGAACGTGCAAACTAGCGGGCTTCCCCCGACGTTTTGTTGGCTGGTGGATTTACTGAAGTTAGCATATTAACCTCTTGCGATTAATTTCGTTTTGAGCAATGTAGGCATGAGCAGTTGGAGCCTTTTTATCTCACTTTGATTCATTTTCTAACGGTAAACCGTCATCTCTTTTATGAACCTATGACAAATATAAGCTGTTTGTTCGTTCAAACTCTCGTTTTCAACGGTTAAAATTATCATGCAAAAGAATTCATCCTTTTACGTGAGAACTTCTTATATTTTCAGAAGAACCTTGTTTTTTCCAGGTAATGTCTTTAGTGTGTGCAAAACTTGACAAATCAACCAAAATCCTCAGTAGATTTGAGACTCAAACTGGCCTATTTTAATTGTCATCGGCTCTTCTATCTCCATGGTCGGCTCCTTCACTTATGCTATATTCAGCAATCTAGCCGTATAAAAGTTGTCAATTCCTTAACAAAATTGTTTACTATTTTACGTTTTGTGGAAGTCGTTCCTAGTTAGTGACTCCTTTTCCTTCACTAAGGTAGTATTATACAACGAAGTCAATGCCTTATAAAGACAAATTTTATCGTCGGCGTCAGTTTTGGGTCAAGGGAAATTATCGTTTTGCTTCCTAATTTATTATACACAAACTGTAAAACCATTAAATTTGTTCTTTAATGCTTGTCTGTTCACTACTCCTTAATGCCTTAAACGTGCTAATATCGCAAGTCACGCAACAAAGCAATACCGTTGGCCAGAGAAAAATTGATATGATTGGTCAATAAATTACTCTAATTTAGGTGCAACCAGAATCAGATTTTTAATAGGTGTTACGGAGGTTATAATGCCATTTTTTGACCAAGTAATCCCGATCAAATGTCAAAATGCCATCCTACCTTTGCCACAAATCAAAAATGATTTGACAAAGTTGATTTTGTGTAGAGTAAGAAAATCTGAGAGTTTGAATCCCAGTGAGGGGGAATGTAAACCTCGTAACTTAACAATGATTCTCGTGAATTGTCTTTTCTACTTTCTTAATTATTATCTTTTTGATACACATAGTCAATGAGTTGAAAGGTTTTAGAATTTTTAACGATGTCGGGACTGGACTAATTTCATTCTGCCTCGTCGATTTTTACCCACTAACAGGATCTACTTTTCAGTCGATCAATTCGGCTAAGGATTCAAATGAGAAAATTAAGGATTACCAGATTAGCTAAATTCCACCACCCAATTTTGATGCCTTAGCCGACTTGACAGAGGCTTAATTGGCCATCCAATTGCCCTCCTGTACTTATTCTGCAGCGAATTAAAGGGAATTTGGACGCTCAAACGGAACGCTACGTTTCTATGAATCCGCCATTTGTTGCACGGTGGGTCCGGATTTATCCTTTCACTCAAGAACGGCAACCGGTCTGTTTGAAACTGGAAATTGTCGGCTGCAGTGCCAGTGAGTTGACAATCAAATTACACAAATTGAATCAATCGCCCAAGTAATTCGGTTTATGTTTACCTAGCATGTTTGTTGAATAATTCGATTTGCTTCCTTACCCTCGGGACTTCGAGCATAACCTTACAACTGGCCATTTCCTGCCTTTTCAATTTCCGCTACTGGCATTATTGTTGCTAACCTCCTACCGATTTCGTTGCATCTAAAACAAAAAAGTATTCAAACTTACAAATACACGAATAAAGGCGAAATCCTGGTCAATGGGGCTGTCTGTGTGTGAAACCAAAGAACCATTTTTTCGTGTGAAAATGCTCCATCGAGGGATCAGACACGAAGTGCTATTTATTGTTAACTTCAGACGGGGTTGTTGAATATCAGGCTCCACGAGGAAATTTTGTAACCAAAGCGCCGAAGGATCGCTTGGTGGATTTCACTTATGATAACCCAGAAAATCGGCATTCTCAAATCAGGGACTCCCATCATGAGGTTTTCAATGCTGGAGGATTGGGTAAACTTGCAGATGGAAAACCGGACCATGAAACAGACACCGAGTAAGTTGAGGCAAAGTTAGATGATTATCTCTTTTCTGCCAAAAAAGTCATTAATGACTTTATTCGTCTAGACCCCTAGAATCAAACGATTTTGTGGGATGGAAGCGCTCTGACGATGCCTTAGACGCCAGCAGCTACGAACGAATTGTCTTTCGCTTTGATGGTATTTACAATTTCACCAGCGTCAGCATGCTATTCGCCAACCAAGTTGGCAATGAAGTTTCCCGACCTCGACTAGTTGAGGTGCGTCTGAGTCGAAAGTTTCCACGCGCCAGTCCCACTGATCCAGCCACCACTTTTACAGCTAGCCACCTGTTTCCTGTACTTAAAAATACCCTACCAAAAACGGAATGGGTTCATGTGGGTCTCTTGGACACTCTCACAGAATCTCCAAATACCAACATATCAAGTAAATACTACAATGTGGCAAATTTTGTGGAACTACGTGTCTACTATGCTGGGCGTTGGATTGCCCTAGGCGAAGTTACTTTTCATAACGGTAAGTCTTAGCAGCACTTTAGGTAAACCTGTTTTGAGGCTATTCTTCTTTTAATGTACTGTTTTTTTATTTGTTTTATGTGAATCAGTTCGCGTGCAGATTCCTCCTGGGTTGGTTCTTGACAAAGGTTTGTTTAAACCTCATTTTTGTTTTGACATGCTCTTGCTTGCCTTCCCACCGCACCTACAAAAGTTAAATGCACTACTACCAATGCGGACGTCAAAATCAATTATTCTTGTCAGAAGTAAAAAACCTGCTCAAGCTTAACCAATCAAAACTCTCCTGATTGTCAAACGAATAGCTTTACATAGTACTAAGCGGAAATTGAGCCGTCAATATTTCTGCTAAGTTGACAACAAAAAATCAAGTTTATGTAGTACATTATCAAATAAAATACAACTGAGATGCTGGATTGTTCTCTTTTCGGAAATTACTCTTTCAATTTAGGGCAGAAGAAACTGTATAACTGTCCGATAGATTTACGCGAATACAAGTAGTCGTAGTGATTGCCTCCTTTGATGAGGTTCAATAAAAATTTGGTACACACATTGGAACGACTTTTAGGTAGTTTCAAAAATATCGAGCTTCAAAGTAGTTTGGCGAAATTGTCCTTTTCATATGGCCTGTTTAGGGACGATTGGTCTACACCACTTGAGTTTAGTTGAGTGGTTCCTTAAATGTGATTAGTCTAATCAGTGGAGCGAAGGCAAATTATTTTCTTATCTTTTCTCCCAATTGCTACTACCTAGCCTCTACCAGCGCGGTTGCTACATTAAATATCAACCTTTAAAGGCAGATTAAATCGCACTTCTCACAATGCGCTTCAAAGTTAAAAGGGCACCCAATTTATTCATATTCCCACTTTAGAACCCAACGAGGCATCGACGACACCAGTCCCTTCTCAAAGTCTGAATTCCAGTCTTGGAATAACTGGTTCTCAATACAGCTTAGCGACACTGCAACCACACACCTATGCGCTAGTTGTTGGACTGGGTTGTCTGGCGACTGTTTTGATAATTCTCGTGCTCGCACTCTTTGTGCATTGGCGCCGACGAGCTTTCTTGTCGAAGCACAAGATAGACGAACTCAATCACTCCTTCCAGCATCCTTTCACAATGCCTCTGATTAAGACAGCGGCTCAACCAACGAACTCTGTGAACACAGAAGCAGATCAGAAATGGGAATTCTACAACAACTCAAATGCTGTTCAAGTTCCAATGTACCTGAATGGTGAAAATGCTGCCTACGCTCCTTCCAGTACCACAGTCATACCCCAGTTCCTGCTCCAACAACCTCATATTGGTGTACCCGGCTCTCTTATGCTTCCCAACTATATGAGAGCACAAATCCAGTCAAATCCGGCTAACGAAGTAAGTCGGTCCTGTAGACCATTTTCAACACCTATTTGGTCATAATATGGTTGCCTTTTCATTTTAGCTAGCACCACAGGAGCAGCCAGCAAATAGCGGAGGTGATAACGAGACTCGAGCACCTCTATTCCCTTTTTTCCAGTCTGCCAGTAGTGGTTTGACACCAGAATCTAGCGCCGTGTACACCACCGTGTCTGAAAACGACCCCTATGTAAATGGAACGCCTCGTCCAAACCAGATGTTACGCATTCCACCTCCGCCATCACTTCCGCTTCCACCAACCCCTACGCAACCACATTCAGTGGCAGAACGGACACCCCCGTGGACGGGTGCAGGATTCAGTAGGGAAAAGGACTACATACAGCGTCGAGAGCTAAATAGCAACGGTAGTAGTGATTTGAACACCTTCTATCGGTACTCCATTCCATTAAATGCAGCCTTTCCTGCAACACCAGTGTACTCGGCTCCTGTATGGGTTGCTGGAACCATGGATTCGGTTACAATTGGTCATTTCTATGGTCAGCATCAGACAACTTCGCAGGATCATCCACCATTGCCACAAGAAACACCTGAACTAAATGGCAAGTTGTATTTGATCCAAATTTGATTTGATGTTAATGAAACAGTAAGGCCATGATTGAACAGAGGTGAAATATCAACGAGCCTTGTAGGGGAGGATTGACTCTAAACTTAGCAAACCTATACACTATTTCAACGTTTCAAATGCAATTATCACAAATCCAATTTTTTCGACTATGGCACAAAAAGCACTGGTTGGTGATTAATAATTCATTCACGTGAAATGAACATGCATTCAGCCAATTCCACTGGGAGAAGAGAGGGGTAACTTGCTACCACCCCCTCCACTGCACTCTCTTTAAACATCTAAATTATTCATGCTCCCTCAAGCTCCAGAGACCCGATAAGAGGTCCATCAACTTGGCACTTACCTACGCTTAATTCTAACGAATCCTCTGTTATACTTTTTTCCCTCAAGAATACCTCTCTGGAACACCAGTCAGTTCCATAATTTACGGCGGATTCTACGGGATG